GACCAACTGGAGGTCGGTGGGCAGTCTGGCATCTTTGAGCAAGTGCCAGATCGCGACTGTTCTCGCCATTATATAGGGCAAACTAGACGACTTCTTAGCTCGCGAATAATGGAACACAAACAAGCAGTCCCAAATCGCTACTCACACCCTGGAAGAGGGCCACGAATTCAACCTCGCGGCACGCGGATAATGGCACGAACCAGAAACAAGACGGGGCGCGAACCGCTGGAGGCCTGGATGTCAGAATCAAACTCCATCAACAGGCACGCGGATATACCGCCCTGTTATTTTGCCCTCCGTTCGCACGACCAAGAAGTACGGCTCAGTTCATGTCCAAGGACGCAAGCCACACCATCAAGGACGGACGTCACGATGGCAAGGCTACACGCCATAACGCCAAGGACACACGCCGGGACGATACAATGAGGTGACGTGGGCGTGGACCCATCCAATCACGAATGCTACCCCCTTCCCCCACCCCTATTTACATGCATGCAAAACCTGCCAATTCTTGCTGTACTCGCATTTGCTCTATTGATGGCCTCCTGTACGGGACCAAAAGCTCAGGCTAATACAAGTGCTGTCCCCGTGATCGTGCACTTGCCTTCTTTGAAATCAGAAAGCATCAGCAGTAGAGTACTATCGTGTATAGAACGCTGCGTTGCTTTTCCAAGTAGTAGTGGCTACTAAAGTAGCCATGGCCTGTGCAACGGTAGTAAGTCGTGCCTGAGAGGGAAAAGTTCTGGGCGGAAGTAGCAGCTGCTTTTATAGGTTTGTGGAGCAAGTTCACTTTGAGAAGAAGTAGACTTGGGCGCCGGAAAAAGAACTTTATCCGCCTGACGTTTCGAATTTATGATCGAACTCATAGTCGCAGGCAGAAATAGATACGTGTACTCAATACACAGGGGATTGCAGTTCCAAAGCCAATGCTGGTGAATCAGATGGCCGCGTAATCTTCTCACCAAATCTAACACGAGTAGTACAATTCCAGCGAGCACCGACCCGGGGCGTTAATTGGCATATGTTTACAGTACTATAGTCACAATACCCTTTGTTTGCTCTAATTCCTTGTGCATGCAGTACCCTTATCTGATGCTGGCTTTGAAACTCTGTTCAAGTCCTGAATCCAAAACGTTAGGTGAATGAAGTTATCTTTTTCGTGGTCGCGTCTGCTTCTTTTCAACTACCTTCTAGGACCCGCCTTCTTCGCCTTTATCAGCAGTAAGTTCAAGTGTAGCCGAAGTGATGCGTCTTAGAATTTCTAGTGGCTCCTGTCGCTTTATGAAAATCAACAAATAGTGACAGCATCGCTCTGAATTCTTTTACAGCCTACTCACTGGGCCAGAGGACGTAGGCGTCTACTGTCATTCTGCTTTTGATGCGCGATTTAATCAATGCTAACAACAATAAAGACGTTTACTAATGCAACATGGTTCTTTGTATTTTTGCCCTCATTTAGCGAGTCGATTTACTTACTGCAACGTATGGAGTCCACCAATGCTGATACAGGAAGCTGACAACCAGAGTAGAGTTTCCTAAGAAGTCAATCTAAAATCATCAGATAGCTACCAGACACGTTTAATCCTTAGAAGGGGTTTGGCAAACCTGAGTAATTCGTGACCCACTTGTGAAAAGCTCGCAGCCACGCCGCCAGGAGAAGGCTTTAGTACAGCCGATGCTCTAACCAACTGATTTATACAGGCCCCACCGTAAACCGTGAGCTTAATCACACTTGGGTCGATTTAAGCCTTTAGTACAATCCTGCGCCATCTTCTACTTAATAAAACTTCTGCATGCGGCTCTCCTGGCTGGGTTGTCTCTTGGTTTGGGGACTATTTCACTTCCCACACTCAATTCGTTCAATGCGGCAAGCAAAAATCTACGGTCCTTCCCAACAACTGTGGAGTTCTTCAAAGGGCTATGTTATCTCATCTCTTTTCCCTCCACACTGACGATCTACGATCACCAAATGAATGTTTGTTTTTTAACCGTGCTGATGACATGGCTGTTGGTTATCCTCTTAAAAGTCCGACACATCTCCAAGTACTGAAGGATGGCCTGGACCACGCCTCAACATGGTCGTCAGCAAATGGCCTTCTACTTAACGAACGGAAGTCAGTTCAGTGTATTTTTCGACCACGACCCTCTCTCAGTCCTAAAACTATTGACATTCTGCTCAACGAGGTATCCTCTTTCCGACACCTTGGTGTTACTCTGGCATCCAATCTTACATTTGC